TAAGGCACATCATGCATATACATTTAATAATATATCACTTAAATATGTATATATATATACACGTGCGTATATTCTATTGAAATAATTGGAACATAAAAAATTATTGAATTATGTAAAACATTCCAAATTTGGTAAGTTTCTACAACTCGTGAAAAATATAAATTAAATATTAAATACATATGTGAAACATATATATATATATATATATATATATTTGTTAATTTGTGTAATATATTTCTATTTGTTCCGAATATCGTTTACTAGTTCTATATGACAGTACCAAATACTTTGTCTAATGGTAAATAATGTAAATTACATAATTTTTACATGTATATTATCTTAAACAATATACTTAATAACAAAAATATTTTATTATATTTTTTAAATAGAAGAAATAATGTTACACAACAGATAAATGTTTGATATTATATGTATAATAAAAGAAGAATTTATTTATCATTTTATATAATGCGATATTATAAAATCGATACGATTTAAATTGTTAAGAATCAGAGGTCACTTGAACTGTTGTATGAGAAAAACATAAATTAAATTGTACATATGTATACTATGTATAAAGCAAAATAAAATATTAATACAAAAAACATGAATAAAAAATGTATTTCATACTATACAATCTATTGTGTAAAAAAAAACAATATAAACTAATATGGAAATTAATAGATAATATTACAATTTAACCAACGTGATAAAAATAATATAACTAGGATCTTCAAACATCTAGGGTACATAATGGTAATTTATTTTTGTAATTTTCCAAATTTCCAATAAATACTCGAGAAAATTATTTGATAATTATACTAATTTTAAAGATATATATGTATATGTATAAACATATACATATACATATGATATAGTAGATATATAATTAGTAAATAATATCATTAGCAAACATAAGATTTACAAAACGGATATGTTTTGAATAATTACGAAAATTAAATATTACTGATGCAATATCTCCTTTTCCTTGTCAAATGAAATCATTCGAAAATAACAAAATTAAATATTAAGAAATAATTGACATTTTTTTCGGTAGTACTTAATTGTCGAATAAGATTTCCAACAATCTATATAATCTGTTTGTTTACCATATTATACAAATTAATTGTCGCTTAATCAATTTATTTTAAACATTAGTACGCAGTAATATAAGATGTAGTTGCAACCGTGTCGAACGAAAAATGGCTGCAAACGTAAGAACAGGTGAGTAGTATGTACAAACCTGTCAATGATGATATCTTCCTTATTTCCTCCTTCCTTGTCCTATCCTTATTCAAAGATAATTAATCAATCTGCTTAATTCAGGGAAGTATGTTCAATGAAAAACAAATAATTTTTTTTTAATCATAATTTTTTATGCATACGTTTGATATAGTGACTAAATTTAATTACTACATTATGTTTTTTCATTCGTACGTCAAATCTAATATATACTATCAATTGTTAAATTTTTAGTCATTATCGTAGCGCTTCTAACTTCATATCGCGTCGAAAGTTATCTGATACTTAGTAGTGGGCGTATAATAGAGACGCACAAGCTTCATTATTGTGAATAAGGGTATTGTTTTTCATAGATTCGTTTTTGTATTTGTGGCTACGTATTTGCATTCGTATGCACGAATGTATAGGAAGAATCTGTAGGAAGAATGCTTGTCGTGCATTTCACGTTTCTACGATACTCGGTCCTGATGAAGTTTCTTTTGACATATTGCTTTATTCTACAAATTGCTTTCAGAAATGCGAATTCCTACACGTTCTGCACCTCGTCCACCTATTAGTACAACTGCACAAAGAAACGTTATTTGGAATAACACGTAAGTTTAATATTACATACTCTAAGATAAATTTTTTTTTACTTTTTACTCTAATAATAAATATTTTTTTTATACATATATAAATATGTGATGTAGTTTTTTATATAATACATAGTCAAAAATACACGCATTAGAGTATTTTATATTATAATTTTATAGTAAATTTAAAATTTTTCAATTTCATTGCATTTATTTGGTGTCTGTTGATGTTCATAGTAATAATGTTTTTGGATCTTCATTAACACAACAACCTATTCAGAAAAAGAAACCACCTCCACGACCACCACCGCCAAAGTTCAATCAATATTATTCCCAAACACAAAAGGAAAAATTAAAAAAACCTGTATGTAGATATCTATTAAATTAACATTTTACAATAAACGTTATTTAATATTATTTATGATATTTAAATAGGCAAGACCAACAGAACTTTTGACTAATCTTTTTGGAAGAAAAAGAAATGAACATTCAAGTATAACTCAATTAAATAGCCAAATACAAAATACAATATTACACCCAGAAAACCCAAATGGACCAGTTTGTTTAATAGACTTTAGTCCTCCTGGATCTCCAACATTTACAACTCGATCAAGTAGTGATGGTGTTAGCATTGATAGTTTTGGCAGTGATGGGAATTCAAATCCATCTGCATTCACAAGTAGTGGAAACACATCACAAACAGAAAGTAACTTTGAAGATGATTTTGATTTTTTTGGAATATCTACAAAAAAAGCACCTCAAAACGATCCCTGGAAAATTAATTCAACAACAGATCCATTTGGTCCACTAAAAATTACTAATCATAATACATTACAATCTGTGAAACATACAGGGGATACATGTTTTTTTACTTTCGATACAAATAATCATACTAATAATCAAGTGCCTTTTAATCAGGCATTGAAAAGTACTCAATCAATGCCAACTATTATTCGTGCAAAACCACCCAAACCTCCAGCACCAAAAATTCTGCAAAAGAAGGTAGAAAAAAAAATTAATAATATTAAAATTGATTCAAGATGTTCAAATAAAACAGTGCCTTTTGTTAAGCCAATGACTTGGGATCTAAATAATTCATGGCAAAATGACTCTAAAGGTAGTTCATCACCACCAATGCCCACAATACCACCACCTGCACCACCTCCAGAGTATTTAACAGAAATAAATAATGATGTAAGTAATTATAATTTAATCTATAATTTTATAATTTTATAAAAATAGTTAATATTTTCCTATTTTATATTTCTAGATCAACAGCAAAGAACCCTATGGCATTGCGCTATATGATTTTCCATTCACACATTTGGGTGATTTGCCTTTCAAAGAAAATGATGTGGTATATTTAATAAAGAAAGTTAATGAAGATTGGATGGAGGGTAGAGTAGGAAACCATCAAGGAATATTTCCTACTAATTTTATTGATATAAAAGTACCATTGCCTGGTGTGCCAGATAATGTAGTTACTGCTATTTATCCCTTTAAGGGTGAAACAGTAGAAGATCTGTCATTTGATGTAAGTTAATTTCTATGCAGACATACTATAATTTTAACATACTATATCATATAAATATTTTTCAATGGTTATTCTTTACACATTTATGTATCACGATTTTTACGCATGTTCCAATAATATATAAAATGCAATATTAAAGATAAAATTTCGATTACTATAAATTTACAAATACTCCTTGTGAATTCATCTCTCTTATTTATGATATTATAAGTCATGTCTTATCCATTCACTTGTGTTTATCTTTACTAAACTTTATTGTACTACATATTTTCTTCTCTACATGTTATCTAAATTTCATTTTATTTATATGTACTTTAGGAAGGAGAAAAGATTACAGTTATATCAAGGATATCACAAGATTGGTTGTATGGTGAATGCGGAAGTCGAAAAGGACAATTTCCGGTAAATTACGTAAATAGAATCCCATGTAATATTCCGCTATCACATTAATTTGCATGTTGTACCAAATTGTAAATGGTAACATGTTAATAGCTTTTCTATTATAAATTTAGCTCTTACTCTTCATATTCGATATTTCATCAAATATTTTTACAGTGGTATTTTAAGTAAGACAAGCAACGAAAAGTTTAGAATTTATTGTTGAAATATTTTCATAGTCACATTAAATGGCTACATGTGTGTTTCAAAAGTTTCTATTTACAAAAAGACTGAATTATATGCAAGTAAGCATTGCCTTGCAAATTTAAATGAAATAATATTTTTAGTAATTTTTTAAATCGAAGTTTTGAAAGTAAGATGTTCATATTTTGGAACTTTTCAAAATCGAAAGAGTAGAGTAATATTATATCTCAATTTATCAGTAAAGTTTATAATATATTTACAAATGTGTTCTAAAATTTACAAAATCTTATTTTCTAGAAAAGAAAATAGTAATACAAATAAAACATTTCTTACTACCATAAAGGTATTTAATTATCAAACAGTAAAATTATACTTTAAATTATATAATGTATATTTTTATATATTAAAATGCACTTAAATGCAAAATATGCAAACAAAATGTATATATGAACTTTGTAATAATTTTCTGTTTTTTAACATAAATTACAATATAGTTACGCACAAAGCTGAAATTAAGATATTTAAATATCAAAATTTCAACAAATTATGCTTACCTTTATAATTTAAATTCTATTTAAGTTGTTTTTTTGTACCATTGCCTGGTGTGCCAGATAATGTAGTTACTGCTATTTATCCCTTTAAGGGTGAAACAGTAGAAGATCTGTCATTTGATGTAAGTTAATTTCTATGCAGACATACTATAATTTTAACATACTATATCATATAAATATTTTTCAATGGTTATTCTTTACACATTTATGTATCACGATTTTTACGCATGTTCCAATAATATATAAAATGCAATATTAAAGATAAAATTTCGATTACTATAAATTTACAAATACTCCTTGTGAATTCATCTCTCTTATTTATGATATTATAAGTCATGTCTTATCCATTCACTTGTGTTTATCTTTACTAAACTTTATTGTACTACATATTTTCTTCTCTACATGTTATCTAAATTTCATTTTATTTATATGTACTTTAGGAAGGAGAAAAGATTACAGTTATATCAAGGATATCACAAGATTGGTTGTATGGTGAATGCGGAAGTCGAAAAGGACAATTTCCGGTAAATTACGTAAATAGAATCCCATGTAATATTCCGCTATCACATTAATTTGCATGTTGTACCAAATTGTAAATGGTAACATGTTAATAGCTTTTCTATTATAAATTTAGCTCTTACTCTTCATATTCGATATTTCATCAAATATTTTTACAGTGGTATTTTAAGTAAGACAAGCAACGAAAAGTTTAGAATTTATTGTTGAAATATTTTCATAGTCACATTAAATGGCTACATGTGTGTTTCAAAAGTTTCTATTTACAAAAAGACTGAATTATATGCAAGTAAGCATTGCCTTGCAAATTTAAATGAAATAATATTTTTAGTAATTTTTTAAATCGAAGTTTTGAAAGTAAGATGTTCATATTTTGGAACTTTTCAAAATCGAAAGAGTAGAGTAATATTATATCTCAATTTATCAGTAAAGTTTATAATATATTTACAAATGTGTTCTAAAATTTACAAAATCTTATTTTCTAGAAAAGAAAATAGTAATACAAATAAAACATTTCTTACTACCATAAAGGTATTTAATTATCAAACAGTAAAATTATACTTTAAATTATATAATGTATATTTTTATATATTAAAATGCACTTAAATGCAAAATATGCAAACAAAATGTATATATGAACTTTGTAATAATTTTCTGTTTTTTAACATAAATTACAATATAGTTACGCACAAAGCTGAAATTAAGATATTTAAATATCAAAATTTCAACAAATTATGCTTACCTTTATAATTTAAATTCTATTTAAGTTGTTTTTTATGTAACGAAGTTTCATAAAAAAAAAAAAAAAAAAAACGGAATATTTTTATTACTAAATTTTTGAATAATCGGTCTTTGTATTCAAATTTTGCTAATTGGTCAGTAAATGTGGATGAATCCTAGATTTATTAATACATATTATAATTAATCAATAGTCATCTTATAAATAGTCTTAATATCTTATCTTATAAATAGTCATTTTAGACAAAAATTTATATAACATACAACATAGAAGTAACATATAAAAGAAATAGTTCTATTTTTCATATTATACATAAAATATTTTCAACTTACTAGAATTGATGCAGAATTACAATTAAATATGTAATGTTTTAATGTTATAGTAATTGTTTTGATAAATATATCCTACATATGCTGAAATAATCAAATTTATACATTAATTAGTAAAGATTACAAAGAAAATCTTATAATTGATAAATATGCGTATATTATTCGTTATATTTCGTATAGTTTTTGTTTATTACATATCGAGTTATGTTTCGTAATATTTAAAATAGTATTTCAATATAAGTTACCAATATGAAAATAGTGATATAATTAATGTGTGATATATGGATATATAATTCTAAGAATATAAAATTTTAATGTCGTATATTTTAATGTACATACTTAATTGCAATGAAAAATATTTACAAATTTAATTTGTGCATATCCTAAAAATTAAAAGAATTATCTATGTAAAGATGTATCTATACAAGTGCGCATGTATATAAATAAGTGCTTTTCAATTGTAGTACATACTGAATTGTTTTAAAATCGTGGAAATATCAAAAGAAATTTTAATTGCAGTATTAGTAAGCAATAGTTTTATCAGTTTATATTGGGACCAAATATTTGATTTATAAAAATAATTTAAATGAACAAAATTAAAATGATTATAATTTGTTACATAGTGATATTTGTGAATATAATGCATGAAAATTTAGTTTATAAATTTATTTTAACATACATAATGTGATACCTGGTTACTGCAGTGGTCATTTTATCATATGTATAAAATAAATTATTTAATGTGATATATAATAATAATATGATATAATTTCTAGAAATGTAGAACAGAAACTTCAATATTTGTAAATTATGAAAGCATATAGCAAGATTAGTATAAAAGACAAGAAAAAAAAAATATATCTATCAAAAAGTGATAGAAATGATAAAATTTGCCATAAAATATATAATAATGTATGAAATAAAAATATACGAAAAAAACTTATTTTTTATTATATTTAATACTAACAGTCTTTATAAATTCTATTTATGTATATTTTTCAGTTATTCTATATTAAGTATTTGCAACGATGTTACCATTTTGCGCAGAAACACTACCAGATATAGAATGTTCATCGAACACGATAGTTTTTATTAATAATACTTTCGAAGATTGCACGGATTTCGAATATGTAAAATATTTGGAACATGATATACATTTGTTAACATATGTAGAACAGATTGAGAACATTACTTTTTTATATCGTTTCAGTGTTTGTGTCACTGCATTTCGAAATTTTTCACCTGTAACACAATATAAAAAGAAATTGATTGCAAAATTCCAATGATATACGTGAAAGCATAAGCCGCGGCACCATTTCAATAACATTTTTTCTTTCAACCTGAAAAACAATAATTATAGAATATAAAAGTAATTAATTAACTTATAACATACGTAGCTATATTACAAATGTATACCAATGTATATATTCTGCTTTTTTTCTTTCCTCAGTAGCAGGAAATTTAATCAAAATGATGTCCCAATAGAGTTCCAAAGTTTCAACTATACCAAGTGGTAGTAATAGAATTAAATAAACAGTTGATACTACAAATAATGTTCTAGAAGTATGATGCATTCTATTTATTTTATGTCTGAAATTTTCTAAGATATGATGTCATTAAATATATTCATATTTCTTTAATTATAGGATTCTACTTAAACAATTTACTTACGAGTTAACTGACAATGAACTTTTTCAGTTTTCTTCATGTGTATAATCAATAAAATATTTCCAACAAATATAAAAAGTAAAGGCAACCAAGTTGATAATGCAATATAAAAATACATAGCACTACCCCATGGTTTTATCTTTTTTTGACATGGTATAAATTCAAAAACACTGTCTGTTTCATACCCTGTAAGTAGAGCAAAATATATTTGATGCATAATAAAATGTACTAGAATTTAAGTTTTCATTATGATTTTAATAAGATGCAAATAATTTTAAATATCAATAAATGAAATAGTATTATTAAATAAAGCATAAAACATATAAGTATTTACCTCCTGAATACAACTTTGTTAATGATATTATAAAGCTGATGCATATTAAGATACTAATAATTATTATTTCGGAACAATTATTATAATGACCATATATTCCAAAAGGAAATATAATAACAAATACTCGTGTCCATGTAAGAACTACAACTAGCCAAGTAGATGTAAATTGAAAGAATTCCATAGTAATAGAATTCAAGCTACATAAAAACCTACTATCCTAAAAACATAAAAAACTTGAGATTTTAATTGCATATAGGATAAACCAATACTATCTAATTTGATTGCTTACCATGAAAAGGTTATTAACAAATATAAAATGCGATTTTGCAATACCCATAGCATAATTAAATACTAATGCCCCATTATCAGATAAGGCAAGTGCTTTTAAATAAAGTGACAAGTTTGATTCACAAAGTATAGGTGTACTTAACATTACAAAAGAGATAGTATTTAACAACACGCCTGTATAAATTATGAATTGTTTATTATAATGCAATAAATTATATAAAATTGTTCAGACAAAGTTGAAAGCTATTATATAATAAATTAAAAAATATTTTTTCACTTACCAAGCACTATAGTAAATGGTGTTATATAAGTAAGTAAAAAACGTACAAATTTCACAAATGGTTGTAATGACAACCAGTAAAAACGAACTTCACAAGGCCACACAATTTCTAAATTGGGTTGTGTAAAATTATAAATAAAATCCAAAGTTGTCAGTGGTAGTGGACATGTTAAATTTCCTTTAATGTAAGAGCTATATAATAGATATAAATATAAAAATAAATATAACAACAGTCTTTTTATTTTATTAATTACATGTACTTGAATCTTTAAAAAAAACTCTTCTTACCTGACTTCATTTTTTACTGAAGTCTCAGTAAATTGTATTAATTGTAGCAACAAATTTAATATCAATATGAATTGCAAATTTATACTTTTAAATGAAACCATTTGTACATATATACTAACAGATGTACAAAATTTTTATGTAGTAATTTCTAAAAAACATATATCTTATATATTTTAAAAATA